CACTCTTTCTCCAGGCCATACTTCTGTTCCCTCAGGTGACTATAGTGCTATGGAACAATACCAGGACAGAGCTTCTGTTTCTGGGTTTTCTCGGAAAGTTCTCAATTTTGGGGTAAAGAAAGGTTTGAGATTCCCGGTTGGATGAGGTTGCAGAAGTGAACTTCTGCAGTGTCAGGCAAGGTGAGTGTTGGGCTTGCTCTGCATGCGTAACTCTAAATACTTTGAGCTTCCTCATTCAGCACATCATTAAACTGCAGAGATTATTGCCACAAGATGCTGTAGATGCCAACACTCTGTATAGATTCAAAAACCATTAGATGAAACCAGGGACAGTGCATCCTTCTAAGGCTGTGGATCAGAGCGCAAAAGATATAACCTCTGGCTCAGTAACTGCCAGCTCGCGGGCTGCTGGGAGCTGGCGGGGAATTCTGAGGGCAATATAAGTGTGGATTTGCCCTTTGAATGCTTTTCTCCCAAGTATCTGTCACTGTCGGAATTCATCAGTGTTCGTTTATGAAAACCTGCAGTAAAAGGTGAGAAATTTATATAATCTGGAAATAATCCAGCCTAGTGGAACAAGGTATTTGGACTAGCTGAATGCTTGGTCTGACCCACTATGGGTGTTCTGCTGTCCACATCTGGTGTCCAGATTTCTTGGCATCCTTTTATTTTCTGTGCTTTTATCATGCCTATCACTGTGTGCCAAGTGCCATGGACACTCTTCTCAAATCCTATTCAGTTGCCCTGATATGGCAGTCAAGGGAAATAGTTCTGTATCAACAGGAAAGAAACACAAGAAACCAGCAGCTGTTAACTAGAGAAATCATCTCCTGTCAGCTTGGAAGTATAAAGTATGTCAGGGGATTCATTATTTGCAAGAAATCCAGTCAAACACTTGCCATCAATTACACTGGGCATAGGACAGCTGGTGTCCATCATAGCAGGTGTCCCTGGGGCTGCTGAGGACACTGGCTCATTTTAGCCCGCCGGGAGATCTGGGCCTGACTATACCAGCACCAATGCAGTTCTGGGTATGATGTGGGAAGGTGAATGAGGATGAAAGGCAATGACATGAGAAGGAAAATACGAGTTGTCAGGGTCTCAACTTCCGTATCTTTGCTGGCGTGGCATCCTTTTCTTGTGACTAGCCCTGCTGACTCTCCTGTAACAGCTGGAGCCTGGGTGAGTCTCCATTTCCAACACGTTCTCCCTGCGCCACTGAAAATCCCAAAGCTCGGAAGTGTCGTACAGGGGTGTTGCTTAGCTCCTCCCATCTCCTTCAACCTAACAGTGCATTGATTCCTGGATATACAAGTTGTTTTTATGGCTGCTGTTGAAAAAAGCTGCAAACCCTGTTAAGTGTATGAGCTACGGCAAGTGCCTTCTAATTGCTGAGGTAATTAACTGTTGGCATCCAGGCCAGCCTGGATTTTGATCTGCAGTTTGATAAGGTTTACAAGTGGACTGCTAGCAGCTTGGATGAGAAGAAAGCCTTTATCAGATGCCTGTGGAAGCTGAGCCATCGATTCCTCTCCAGTAGTGTCACTTTTGTGAATGTCCCCTCCTGCACAGCAGAAGGTAATGTTATGTTTCCTGTCAGTGTCACTCAGAGTGGGCTTCTTTTTACATCCTATCAGTATATTTGACTGGAGTCAGATCTGATTGCTCATCTCTGAAATTTGTCTCCGCTTTGTAAACATGTAAATGTGTCCCTGCACTCTCCTTTGGAGAGCTCGGCGAGTGAAAACACAGCCAGAACTCAAATCAGATATCCATTTTGTACCCCTTACAAAGATATCTCTTTATCCCATCTATATCTCTGCCTTGCTTGCAGCATGCCATGATTTTATCCTAGCTGATCAGCAGGCTGAGACTGCCAGTCTCGCTACACTTGTCACCTCAAACTGAGCTTGATGAGACCCCTGACATAGCAGGGCTAATGAAAGGAAATAACTAGAAGACTGTGGCCATCTCTGTCCCTCTCCCTTGCAGGGAGAAAAGAGCACCAAGAAGACCGTAAGGACACTGTGGAGACTGGAAGCTCAGAGGGGCTCAGTGCGTACCAGGAGATGAGCCCAAAGGAAGCAGCTGACATGCTGAGGCTGATGGAGCAGTACGAGCCCATCGTGAACAACTCGGTGGCCTTTGCAGAGCAGCTAAGCAGTGATCTCCATGTGCTGGATGAGGTAAGGGCATCAAGGCCATAATTCAACAGCAACAAAGTTGTCTGGCATAAAAAGGGACCTGGTTTGGGTCGATGGTTGTCAGCAGCTCTTATGCTTGCATTTTATCTCAGAGAAAGTCATCCTGGCAGTGCAAAATTTCAGCTCAAAAGGCATCTTGCCTGCCAGAGATCTGCTCTCAGAGCCCTGCACGCCTGATGCAGGAGACATTCTCCTCGACTGAGGATCTCAAAGGTACCTCTGCTGCACCATGCAGCTCCCAGCAGGAAAATGCTGAATCCCAGTCAGATCCCAGCACCTGCATTGCAGAGAAGGAGAAGAGAAACTATAAGGTATCAGACCAATGTTGGTGAGGTTCTGCCATATCCAGCCATGGGATTTGGGGGAGACGCTTCCCAGGCACAGCCATCCTAGCAAGCCCGGGTGCCTCCTCAAGTTGCCATGCTTTGGCAAACAAATCCTGTAGCCTGGCAGCTGAACACGGGCACCTCACTCCCTGCTGAGCTTACCTGTCCTTGGACACTAGCTTGAGTGACCTCTTTCCAATGACTGCAGAGGGAATACAGAGATTCACTGACTCAGTTGGAGGCATCTCAGGCAGTTTTGCAAAAGAAGAAGGGAAATTAAAAGCAGTGGCACACAGTCGGGTGTAGGATGGGATGTGAATGCCAGTTTGTACATGGACATCAGAGCCTCTGACATGGGAGATGGCAGAGAAGAGAGAGAGATTCTCAGCAGCAGGTTAAGGATAACAGTGGAGAAAAATAAAGCTGAAGAAAACCGCAAAAATTAGATAGAACAGGGAGACGAAATGAGACAGAAGGGGACAATGGGGAAAAACGACATTGTTTTCAGACCAGGGAGCTCTCTTACCTTTACTGAAGTTGCCACATTTATGGTATTTTTCTGGAAGATAATTTCTTTCTTTGACTGGTGGAGCAAAATAATGAGAAAACTGTTTGGAGCACCTATGTTCTGTATAATGGATTTCATAGTTAGAGCACTGAAGAACTAAGGGCAAAAATAAGCCAGAGGAAATATCCTAAAATGTACTGGAAATGTAAACGCTAAATTCTACCTCCATCAGGGCCAGAATTTGCTCTATTCACCAAAATGTATTTCTATATATACTACATAGCCATATAGTAGCTAAGATGAAAAACAGAACTCCTGACACCTGTTCAGAAGCAGACTTACTGCTTGCTATCAGCAAGTCATATGGGTACTTTACAACTCAGTTTCCAAACTTTAAAATAGCCTACAGGGCTAAACAATAAATCTCTTTTACATTCTCTGAGATGAACGGTGCTGTCAAACACATTGTTTTAATGCTCTCTAAAGAATGAACGTCACTTACTGCTAACACAAAGTAATTAATGGGACATTTCAATTTCTGAAGATTAATCTGGATATTAAGTGTTATTAATGCTAACATGTTAGACGAGGACACGCATATATTTAAATGTTTCCCAGCACATCACAGCAGTAGCACCTTGCTCTTCTTTTACAACACTAATAAGCCTCTGCTAAATGAGCTCTTCTGGGGCTTGCAAACCCTTTTGCAAACAGTGAGTAAGGGCTGATTTGCTCTGGAATGGGGAAAAGCATGGCCTTTGCCCCAGGGATGGCATGCGGATTTTCACATTGATATTCCTACATCCTTCCCGTTTGCTGGCACCTGCCAAAACGCATGCAGGTTTCTGCAGCTTTGCACGGTGTCCAGCAGTGGAATCATTACCCTCATGGGGGCTGTGGTTCTCTGGGAAGCACTTTCCGCCCAGCGCTGCCCTGGCAATTTCATGAGCGCGCCTTCGCTTGCAGCAAGCCCTGCGGCTCTGCCCGGCCCTAATAAGACCATCTGAAGGCACTGCAGCAACGGGCCTGTGGGAGGTTTATGGCTGTAATTTAGCAGTGCTCCATGAGGCACAGAGCTCCTGGCTGAACCTGTGGTCACAGGCTGCAGTCCTGGCAGGAGGCTGGAAGACAGCAGCGCAGGAACGGAGGGGTTTGCACCTGGTGTGTAGCTTACAATGGCCTTCCATGGAGCTGGGTGAGCTCTGAGCGAAAGGGACATTTGCTTAGTGTCATTATATTTGTTGGAATAAGTGTCTGCCTAGATCAGCAAGCCCAGCTTCAGACCCCACTGCTGATCTCTTTGAAGGCAAGACTGCTGCTGGCCTTCCTGCATTCCTGTAGAAAATCTGTACTCCCTGTACCCATCTTTCCCTCAGGATCCAAGCGTTTGCCTGATTTCAGGCTTCCCTTTTCTACAGGTTTCTTCTGATCTTTCCAGACATCCCGTGAATCTGCCAGTCTATGGCTGAAACCACTGTCCCCAATACTTTCTTTCTACCATGCTTTCAGCAATGTCCTTCCTAAAGTGGCACCACGCTTTCCATGAGAAAGTGTCACCACGCTTTGGCAGGAAGACCAGAGTGGCCAGGTTGGGTTAAGGCTGCACTCCTGGTCCAGCCCTCCCACAGAGATATCACCCAAGGCCAGCCAGAGATCTCATCTTGTGAGGGGCTACCAGCACAGGAACCATGTTGGAGGTGCCTTAAAAAGACAAACTCATTAGCACTGGGACTATAGATCCCCAACATCTACTCCATGGAAATCCTTTTTGCAGGCACAGAGATATAGACTTAAGTCAGAGCACAGGCCTAGGTTCAAGACAGGTTTTCCAAGCAGCTGCAACTGATTCTTGTAAATCATCATGTCAGTCATGATAGCAAATAACCAGGTAGCAGCCTCAGTGACTAGTGGTTACTTGCCGCATAAGCAGGAGCTCATAGGATTTACGTAGGGATACAGATGCTGCTGCTGTTGTCTTTCATTAAAAAAAAATAGTCATCAGCTGCTGATGAAAATATCAGCAAAGACAAACTTGTTTAAAAGCTTTGTTAACAGAGGGAACAATAGCAGATTAGAAGCTTCAAGCCTCCCAGGCCCATGTCTATTGATTATTTTCTTTACTATACTACATGGTACTCAGGCACTGAAAGTGATACGATTAATGTTTGGAAATCTCTAGTGGAGCTTGTCAGCAATGATTAACAGTTTTATTTCTACTGCCACTCAAAACAAATACTCAAGACCTCCATAAGCAGATAGCACCTTCAATTTTCCTCAAGACATATATGTGTGGATGTTTCATGCACGATTTAACTGCTTATTAATTCTACTGCCCGAGTAGTTCCACTGAGCAAAGACCTGGCAGCAGTCTCAGTACATACGTTGGCTGTTCAGTGCTGCAGCAAGCTGTTCTGTGGCCTTTGGCATGGTCTGCTCCTGATAAAAGGATTTCCTTACAAATGTCCTGTGATTGACACACGAGTACTAGATCGCCCTCTGGATTCCTTTCAGGACATCCCCAGTTGTGGGGATTAAGGGTTAGGGACTTCACTAGTGTCCTCGTGGTACCTCTCCAATGCACAGAAAGAAGGCCAGGGGTCTGTATCTCTTCCCAATCCCACAAAGACTGTTTTCTACTCATGGTGAGGTTCACCTGGGACTCAACAGTAACCTCTCTGTCATGTCAATTGAAAGGTTTCTGAAAATACATTATACGCTCAGAGAAGGGTCTTGTTCTGGTCTGGCATTCACCTTGCAGACCTATGCCAATGTAGGCTTTAGCTGAGGGCAAAGAGAAGACATTGATTTTTTGCAGGAGCAATACGGAACACAGGCAACTGCAATAGCTTAATGAGCATTATAATGTCAGGAACTCTGATTTGGCTTGAGAGGGCGAGTGTCAGGATCTTTGGCATACTACACATAACTGTGAAAGCCTTGTGGGAGATGGTGGTGATCAAACCATGGTACGGTGCTGGAGCCCTCTTCTTCTCCATTTTGCAGACCAATCTTAGGGCCATTATCTCTTCTGAGAATCAGGTGACCCAGCTGATGAACACCATTGATGAGGCCCTGGCAGAGGTGGCCAGAGTGGAGGATACCTTGCAGGTTTATGATGAGCTACTGGGAAGTGTGAAGCAGCAGATGGACCACATCTACCAGGAGAACTCCTTACTACATCGCATCACCTCCAACAAGGCAAAGCTGACAGACGAGATCCTCTTCCTCACAGTATGTTGATTTGCAAAGGCACAAATCTTCAGGCTGTTGAATTTATCAGAAAAGCTCTCAGCGAACCTCAAACACACCGAAAACTTAATGGGAAACGAGAGCTAGAGCATACCACACTTCTGTTCAAAAGGTGCTGCAAACGTTGCTGCATAATAAAGTGCATCATAAACAAGAACAACCACTGGGTAGTTTGAGTGGGTCCTGATGAAAACTGTAGTGGACTATATAATTTTATGAGAAAAACATTGTAGGGATCCTTGCTGCACTGCAGAGGAGCCCTTGAGAGTTTATATATCCTATGGAAAGCTGGAGGGAAGGGTGGGAAGGTGGATATGCTGTCCCTGATCTCTTATGTCTTTGTTGTTAGACCCACCTCGATCTCAGCAAGGAACACTGTGAGGCCCTGAGCCAAGGAGATCTTTCCAATCCCAGCAGAGTAAAGGCCTGCATTGCTGCCACAGAAGCTTTATCTGCCTGCATGGACATTCAGATACAGCCTGGTGAGCAGAGGACACATATTTCTGTCTGCAAGGCTTATCAGTCAGCTGTGGAGCAGTATTGTCCAGCCCTTGCAGATACTCACCGAATCACCAAAAGAGGAGGTCTTTATGTAGGTGGTTTCCAGGGACTGCCTCACACACTTGCTAGGCAGTCCTGAGGGCTGCCTGAGGCAAAGTAGAAAAAAAAAATAGAAGGCATATGTCTGAAAAGCTGAGCAGTGGCTGTGATACCAAGTGCGAGTTGCTCCCTCCCTTGCATGTTCTCTGATGGGAAACTGGCTTCAGGGAAGCATCCTGCATCTTACCTGGAGCTTCTGGCTGTTCCAGGCTTCTCCTGACCTTCTGTTCTCTCCTAATCCCATATGAAATGCTGTTAACTGCTCACTTTCTTTCCTGAAGACAGTAAGGCAAGCTTGTCTCAGCCATGAGGGCAGCAGTAGAACTTTCTGGTCCTCACCAGCCTCACCTGTGAGGCAACTCCCACCACCTGCCTGATGGCCTTGTGTTCTTGTCTGAGTTTCTTCATATGTCTGTGTTCTCACAGCCTTTCCTTTGATCCCGTCCCCTTTTGCTCTTGTCTGCCCAACTACTCCTGTTAGGTGGGAAAACAAGCTTACAGGGATGATTCTCTTGCTGAAGTCTTCAAAGTCTTAAGCAGCTACACTAGCAGGTACAGATAGTATTGGGAAAGCAAGTGTAAGATTACCTCTGTACATCCATGGAGAAGAATAGCTGGGAAGGACTGGCTTTTTTCATAGAAAAAAAGTCCAATTCATCCTGGAAATGACCAAGTTGGTGCCTCCATACAGTATAAGCAAGTTGTAGGCACTTCCCACTGGGCTGATGCACTGGCTGGTTCAGTTAATCTTAAAGATGAGGCAAGTTTATGCTAAATTCAAAACGCTTCTTATAAATATCTGGATTTAAGGCATAGTTGTGAATCTGTGAGATATTCTGTGCAATAGAAATGTTCACCTACTCTTACAGTTGTGGAAGGACTGGTAGAAGAATGTGGAAACTATGATCTCTTGGGACAGCCCAGTTGTCAGTACTGAGATGTGGGAAAAAATATAATTCTCTATAGAAGTATAAACTGTGGATATAATGCTGTGGGTGCTGAAGAGCTGTCTGGGTCTTGGTTTGGGCAACAAATTCCAAGCTTTTCTTATGCAGCAACTAGGCATTTGGGCTTGACAATGGCTGAATAATGGTTTTCTATACTTTTTAATGTAAATTCCCTCCCCGTCTCCCTAACTGTGGTTGTACAGCAAGTCTTTTCCCCTCTGTGGGTTTTTAAGTCCTAGTATATCTTCTAGAACTCATGCCTTGTAGAAGTGTCCTATTTGTCCGCGGGTGGCTGCTGCTGGCCTTTGAGCACAACAGTCTGCTGCTTTATGCAGTGACACCTTCTCCTCTACTCCCAAGGTTACCGGAAGCTACAGTCAGTAGCGGAGCAGCTGATCATGTTTGAAACACTGAAGCAGAACTTTGAAAATAGCTTCATCGGTCATATTACAAACATCTTTGAGCTGCAGGTAGGTTGCACATTTCACATGCTAAGCCAAAATTCAGAAAGATGTAAATATTCAGAGATGATAGCAGCAGTATAGGAAATGCTAACATAAAAGCACTCCCTCAAAAGCCAAGGAGAGTGTTTTACTTCCCTTTGCTCTGCTACCCCCTCAGCCTTCTAGTGGTTTTGCAGGCATGCAAAAGGAAACCTTTTCTAAAGGGGTTCCTTCACTTCAGCATACCTCTGCATATAGTCAGCTCATCTGAAAGATTTCCCTGCAATGGCATTTATTAATCCTCTGGTCTTGTTGTAAAGAAATATGTTTAGGCCTAACTTTTTTTTTTTTTCTTTAGATTCTCTTGTTTTGCTTTGGGAGCTATGGTCGTTGTTTGTCCACTTGTAACGTAAAACACAAGGCTAAAAATCTGTCCCTGGAATATTTGATTAAAGTTTTCCAGTTATCCCCTTGCAATTAAAAAAAAAATAGTGGACGATGTCTCTATAGGGAATTATTGGAAGGGAAAATGTTACTCTTCTGGATTTCATCTTATGAAGTGAAAAGGAACCCCTTCAAATGCTTCGTGTTATATGCTGACACTGTTAGCATTCCCTTCCAAACATTAACAAGTACATCTGGGAGGCGACATGACTGATAGGGAGCAACCAAGCAGTTGTGTTTGTGAAAAGAGAGAGGTATCTTACAGGAAGAAAACAATTCTCTCTTGGTATATATATGTTTTTGGGGTTTTGTTTTTGTTTTTGCTTTTCATTTGAGATTCCTCTCCAAGGCCTTAATGATACAGCTCATGTTTTCTCTGGTTCCATTCCTGAAAAGCTGAAAACAGTTTTGATATGCCATCACTTGGAGTTACTCCATCTTGCTACAGGAGAGTTCTGCACTCATCGGTGAATCTAGAGGTGATGCTGAACTGTTGGAATGATCAATATGCTGGGAATTCCAAAAAATGAACAATTTCCCATAAAATGGAATTAAACTTGGACATCAAAATGAACATGCATGTTCCTCTTTGCCCTCTATAATTGCTTCTCAAGCATTTGCAGAACTGGGAATTCAAGGGTGATTCTGAGGCAATTATTTTTCAGAGCTTTTGACGAGTGTGGTTTGCATAACAACTTCTGCTGTTTCTTTAAGGGAAACACTCAAGTTCCAGGTCTCGTGCAGCACGCTGCCAAGCTAGTTGCACCAAACCACAGACTCCATCATGAGGAACTAGTGCACTACACCCCACTCATGGCCTGGCTGAGGAATGCCAACCCGATCCTCTTCAGTGATCTCCCCAAGGTAGGACTGTCATCCTGCAGCAAACCACCCGCCAGAAACACATTGGTCAAAGGGTTGTTTCATGAAACCCGAACTGCCTGCAAACTTCCACATGAGGGACTTGTAGGGGGCATCAGGCCAGCTTGGCCACCTGACGTGGAGCTCTCTACTTGGTATAAATCACCCAGAAATGGTACTCAGGGCCATCATTGTTTTGAATAAAATATCTTGAAATTCTAAAGTTTGGTCTCAGTACAGAAATGCCCAGATGAAATTAAAATGAGAGAGACATAAGTGTGAAATGAATGCAATAAATCTTGTGTTTTATGTAATGCTGCTTTATTTAACTGGTTCTGTGGAAGCTCTATGTTCTTGTCCTTTGTTAATAAGGGCTTGTTAGGAGATTGGGTTTGCTCTTTGTATTTCAATGAGGTTTGGTTTCTATTTTTCATGCTAGTTTTTGGCTTTCCAAAGGTCTCACACAAAGACCAGTGGGTCTGTTTCATCTGCCTTCTGCTAATTTTTGTTGTAAGTGGGAGGGTGAAGAAAAAGCTGTGGAAGCAGTTGAGAGAAGAGCTGTTCATAGACAGATGATGAAGTCTTCTTTGTCTTTCTAGGTTTATGCCCAGAACCTCAGCAGACTCTATGACAGGGAAATCAAAACCTTTTTTGAACAAGCCAAAAGCCTCTTGCTAGGAAGAAGAAAGGCCAGTAAGTAATTCTGCAAGTGTGACCTTTGTTCTGCAGAGAAGGGATATGTTTGTAAGTAGGCAATGCAGCAATAGTCCCCCATCGCACTTTTTTCCTTGATTTTGTGCTGTGCATTTACTTTCTCCTCTATGAATCGAGTCTCCAGCTGTAGCTAGTGACAAAGTGACTCTGATTTACACCAGGGAGTGCATGTGTGTGAGTCCTGGCACCATGTATTATTCAGCATAGTTTATGTGCTTCTCAGATCTCTAGCTTCTGTGAGACATCTCCTTTTAGGACTCACAAAATATGAATGGATACTGAGGTCATATATTGAGGAGCCATAAGACAGGGGACATGTGACTACCAGTTTAATACCTAGTCCTTATTTCATGCAAGCAGAGCTGGTCACAGCCACCTTAGACAGTCTTTTAACCTGTAAGTACCAAGCTTGTCCCTAAGGACACAAGTGTATTCGTAGAGGTATTTGTGAGAGTAGAATGATTTTATAGGAAGTTGACTGTGGGGCAATGTTGTCCCAAGACAATCATTTCAACACTAATTTTTGCATCTGACTCAAAATATTCCACCTGGATTTTTCTGAAGATAAAAAGAGAAACTATTCTGGTCCCGCTTTGATTTTGCAAAAGTCTCATTTTCCTTAAGGAAAACTGAGTATTGTAGTGCAAAAATTCCCTGCCAACTTGGCCCGAGTTGAATGTCAGAAAATTGCTTTGCTCTGTGTTTAGTCTAACAGAGCACTATGATCACATCTTCCAGCTCTTCATCTATCCTGCCACTGTGTCTGTATTCAGGAGACACTGTATGTCCTGGCTGGAGGTAGACAGCAAAGCACTGTAAAGCAAGAGCTGAACAAGCACTGTATCTGCTCAGCCTCTTGCTACATTCCTAGCACTTCCCTGGGGGTCCAGGGGTGGACTTATACCAAAGTAATTGCTGCCTAAAAAGTTATTCTCTCCATAGCTGCCCAGATGTGAAGAGGAGGGATTACATCACTAGAGTATGCTTGGCTTGAAATATAATCCCCTTAACAATTCACTAAACTATAAATAATATATAAAATTCGTGCTGACATAGTTCCAGTTGGAGCTCATGGTCTTGCTGACTAGGAAAGGCAAAGAAAATCAGCTCAGCCCTGCCATGGAGCCCACAACCCCTGTCTTGTGTTTGGGCTCAGAGCTGCATTACAAGAGCAGCAGCATACACATACCTGCAACTGAGCACACGTGTCCTGAAGCCTTTTTGTTTCATTCTGTTATTAAAAAAGAAGAAAAAGAAATTACAAAGAAACCTTTTATTTTTTTCCGCTGGAAAGAGGAGAAGGGGGAAAGAAAGATAAGTTGAGTTTTCTCTCCCTTGTTCTTTTCATTTTCTATTATTTGACCCCTGTAGGGGAAAAAGAGAGAGAAAGAAGAGCAACAGAAGAATTTTACCACATGCTCAGATATTAAATCTTAATTATTTTTTTTTATTTTTGCTAGAAATAGAGAAAATGAACAATCCTAGAAAACCTCTTTATAGTCATCAGAAACCAATTTTTCCAGGACAGAATGATCTGTCAAACTAAGGAGACAAGCATGGGACAATTACCAGGAAACTGTGAAAAACAGGGATCGACGACTCTGCTATTTCTAGCAGGAAAGGGGGTTACGATAAAAAGTGTCAAAATGAGTTATATAGAAAAGTGAATGGAACTTTATTATTCCTTCATGTAATTTAAAAACAAGGTTCTAAAAGGCCATAATAAAGGTGATAATAAAAGGCAATAGAAGGCAATAGTGTCTGAAAAGCTCTGAAAGCTGCTGTTAGGAAATCCTTTCTGCATAATGCTATTTTGTATAGTATCAATTTAGCTGTTGCAAAAAGTTGTTTCTGAAACTGGAAGGAAAGACTATAGGAAGAAGATAATAACTGAAAAAATAAAATCAGGCTGTAATAATAATTCTAGGGTAATGCTGGGATAATGAACCATGATGCGGAAAAGTGTTTTGTAAGAGGTGTCAGGAAAGATCTCTCCCACGGTGCTGCTGACAGACCACCCGACCAGGCAGCGATGGGCTGGCGTTGGGTCATCACCCCTCACAAAGCTTTATTGGCCAGGATGGGCCCAGAGGAGGGCTGAACGCTGCCTAAGTGCTCCCTTTCCAGTTTGTATAGGACCAACTCTACCTTCCCAAACAGCTGAGCATCCTTTCTCTTACGGATCCATCCTATTGGGAAGAGGAGATATGTGTACCCATACAGCAGTCACCATATAAAGCAATGTGTAGAGCCCTTGGCAGGGCTCAGGTGACCTCATGAGAGATGCACAGGAGCAGACAGATTGTGGCTTGTAAAGTAATGTGACCAGGTTGCATTTCCTGAGCAAGGGTATGTGCTTTTGTAGTTAAATAAAAAGAAACAGCAAAGACTGTGTATGGGATAAAGAGGCCCTCATCCCTAGCTAGACACTGAGCAAAAGACTTTAATTCTGATGGGTAATAGGAAAAGAAAAAAACCCAAATCCACAAAATTTGGCTCTTTGCCAGAGCACAGCTGGGTTTGCTCAGAAAGCCATTAAAATGGAGGAGCGTTGCAGGTGCCGAAATGGCTTGGCTATTAAAGAGTCCCTTTATAAAACAGAACAATTAAAAATAAAAAGAGATAGTGAAAGACATGTGTTGCAGCAAGTATGCCTGATCCTCTCTTGGGAAATGTTAAAGCGGTGATTTCCTTTTAGTGCTATGTCTATTTTTCTTTCATGTTTATGTGAGTCCCATAAGAAAAGGAAGTAATTAAATCCTGGGAAGAAATTCCATCTCTTTGAAGGCAAGTGCAGGGATGGCAGGCCATTTTGATGGCTATGAACCGGTTACTGCACACCTATAGAATACCCCAAAGTGGGAAGTCTCTTCCCACTGGAGCTTACGTGGCAGGTAGGAAAGCTGAGACCTGCCACCCGTGGTAGAACCCATACGGGGAGGCTTGGGGCAGGCTCTGGGGATTCATGTCTCATACTGCGAGGTCGAAGACTGAGGCTAGTGTTGCTCCCACGCCATGGATGAGTTTCATAGAGCTGATGAGGCCGTGGGCCTGTAGGAGACCATAAGGTAGGACCAACATCAGCTAGTGTGTGTGCAAGCAGTATCCTTTTGTTCCCTGGTATAAAAAGAGGTCTGAGACAGGTCTGACTCGTTACTGTGGCAGTGATGTTTTTAGGGTTGCTTTTGTGCCTCATAAAGTAGCATCAGTGCTGATCAGTTCTAAATACACCAGCTGTAGATTTGAGAGGTTGCTTGTTTATTTATTATGAGACAGTCTTGAACGCAGACCCCAAAGCGTTTACAATTAATTGCAAGTCAATATATTTTTTCTCCTCATTCTCCCATTCCCTTTTCAAAGGGAAATTTACAGCCTTGAGAAATTAATTCCTGCTTGCTGAAGGGAGATAATTTTTCCTGATTTTTTTTCGCGCATCCCAACAAGAAAAATACCTCTTATTCATCACATTCCATTGCAAGGTGTGCAAAGATGATGAAGCAAATCATTAATTTTCTTGGGATTTTTTTTTGCAACACTGAGGTGAGGAGAGGAACAGAGATGTCCACATGCCTACCAAATACTGTCCCTGTTCCAGGTCTACAGGAGGTCTTGGACAAGCCAATGGTGACCGGGAGCAGACAGCAATTTCGATTAAGCCTCCCTGAGAGCAGAGAGGGCCCGGAGGACATACTGAACAGAGGCAATGTCACCAAAGTAAGGAGCCGAGGTTTGCTAAATGCTTCACCTGTCCCACAAAGGCTGTGCCACAGTGTTGCAAGCCACCCTACAGTCCTTTCTTCAGTGCTTCATACATGCTTCAGAGCATGTAAGGCCTGTACTGCTGGCATCTTTCCTCACAGTGGCTTAGGTTTCATTTCAGGTGGACACAAATACCTAGTCCAATGTCCTTAATGTGCTTGAAGGGGTTTCTAAATGTGCCCAATGTTTTCTGAGCAGATTTTGGAGAAGGTGCTGAAAGAGCTGCAACCCCTTTGCACTGCAGAACAGGAGTTCGTTGAGGAATTCTTCCTACTAAACCAGGATGCTGCAGACTTGGAGGTGCTGAAGGCAAGTATGAGGACAGGGTCCTTTCCACTCCCACCTGACTGATACAAAACTCAACAATCAAAACATGGGGCTGCTTACCAGTATCAGATATCTGAGATGTTCTGGACTCCTGTCTTCTAGCAAGAGTCACTATTAAGTGTCAGGAGTCAGTAAGGGAGAAGGACAAGAAAACACAGCTTCCTGATTGCAAAGGAGAGTTGCCTTAGACCTAATCAATAGCGCCAGCAAAATCATAGGATCTTGATTAGCTTGTACCCGAGCACTGAACATGGGCTGCAGTTTAAGACAGCATTATTTGCCCACAGAGGTTGTGGAGTCTCCTTCTCTGGAGATCTTCAAAACCCGCTTGGACGCAGTCCTGTGCCACGTGCTCTAGGTGACCCTGCGTGTGCAGGGGGGTTGAACTAGACGACCTCTGAGGTCCCTTCCAACCTTAAGCATTCTATGATTCTATCATTCTATGATTCTATTTCTGCTGAAATGAAATCCAGATTTAAAGTTCTTCTTTCTGGGGGAGAGCACTAATGAGATGTTGGCAAATTAATTGTGTTTTTCATCCCATTCATTCTTTCAGGCATCTGCCACTAAGGGGGAAGAAAGCATGGCATCTCCTGAGGACCCTCCTTACACCAAGCCTCGGAGCCTGTATGTGGGGAATCAGAGAGATCTTGCTGCTCTAGCAAGTGCATAACTTGTGGTGTCTATAGGAGCTGGCTGGGGAACTGAAGCTGGGACTTTTCCTCCCTTTCTCCCTCTACTCAACACCATCCAGATTTCAGTTATATGGTCCCAATTTTTCACCCTGGATAGCAATAGCCAGGAAACTCCTAGCTGGGCATGCAGAACCTTCTGGTTCTGCCTCTTCTCAGTACTATGGCTCTGCTTCAGTACTGGTGAAGCTGCTTTTGTCAGCACAGTAACCTGAGAAAGCAGCTCAAGCAAGCTTAGCTTGGTGGGAGCAGAGCAGCCTGACTCCATAGCTAACCTGCCCTCCTGCTAGAGGTTGAGTCCAAAATCACCCAAGCAGAGACAATAAGGAGCATAAAGATAACCCAAGTCTATGCAGACTCTACTGTGTTGGAGAAGGCTTTGATTTACTCTTCTCTACATTTCTCTATGTTCACTCCAGCTGGTGACAATGCCAATACTTCTCATTTAACTGCTTGCTTCCTTTAGACTAGATGAGCCTGCAACCCGACTGCTAAGTGAGATCCTCAGTTCCCTGGAACCAGAGCTGAGAAGCTTTCTAGATGTTTGCAATAAAGTCCACCCATTCAGCTGCTTGCAGATCTTGGTTACCTTGAATGACTCCATCTTTGAGATGTGGGGCTCTTCTTCATCTCTTCCCTCATCCTTCCTCAACACCGTCCTGGGCAACATGCTACTGCTGGCCAAAAGCAGCTTCAACAAATGCATTGTGAGTGTCCCATTATCAGTAGAAATAATCCCAAGTAGTCTAGAGTAATGTTTGTCTTCCTCTAGGTTCTTGTCAACTCCTATTCTAGCAAAAGCTCTGCTGAAGGAGGTTCTGGTATGTATCAGGCCAAGGTCTGGCTCTGATTTTAGGAGGAATAGACCCTTGTGGAATCAGAGTGAGGGAAGTGGGGTTTAGTGTCACATGCTCTTTACTTCATCATCCATCATCATTCCTAACTCATCATCTGGAAACTAGAGAAGTAGTATTTGATTCATTATTTCAACTTGCAATGCCAGTTTGTCCCTAGATGCCACAAACTTGGCCATTTTGAAGATGGAGTGTTAGGGTTTGGCAGTGTGGTTACACCAGGGCTGATTGCTGTCTGGCATGTGTCTTGCCATGCTGCAGAACAAGACTGGGGCTGCAGTGGGCCTGAGCGCCTTGTTTTTTTTCTATTACTTCCAGGGAACCTTGTGCAAAGAGATCAAGGAGGTGAAAGTGAGCAGCAAGGTGAGAGGCGGGATCCTGCCTTTCGTGATCCGCTTTGAAGAGTTTGTGAATTTCTCAGAGGAGGTGTTCAGGTCAGCTCAGCGGAGAGGCGAGCTGGACAAAGCGCTCGTCAGAGTGGCTGGCAGCGTCTTCAGCAGCAGTGAGTACTGGGACGGCAGATGGGATGATTCCAGCTAGAGAGGCCTGAGATGGATGTGCTTTGTTTTGAAACTTCAGTCTCTCCTTTCGCAGATGGGCTGGGCTGTGCAAGGATTTGTCTTCTAGGTCTGAAGTGAGCTTTTGCAATGAGAGTCACATGAAATACAGAACTTCGTTTTGTCAAGAAAATTCTGATATTTTAAAACTAATATAACATCTCTCCCCAGGTACTCATGCATGGCCATATCTATCTGAGCACCTGTCTACAGACACTTTACAGATGAGAGCTCTGCTTGTTCCCATAGAGTTGTATCACCTAGATACATTTTTTTCTTCTTCTTCTCTGCATCTGGTGCAGCTCAGAGCTACACATAACTGGCTCCAGCTGGGGTGTTCTGGAGGATATAACTGCCCTGCAGTAATAACAGAAGGGCAATTCCCCTGAAAACACCCAGACCACCAGGAGAAAGGGAGGTGTTGGGAAAGCCAGGCAGGTAGATTTCTTTAGACTTCTCTGTTGTCACTTAGCTGCATGGGGTTCATAGCTGATTTTCAGAGTCCTGCTTTCCAGCCTGGAGAGCTGCATGGGGTTCATAGCTGATTTTCAGTGCGAGGGTCCTGCTTTCCAGCCTGGAGAAGACCTGAGGTGCTGTAGAAGTAACAGCTCCAAGACTCTGAACTGCAGATCCCTAGGAAAGCAGATCCCTGCAGAAAGCCAACTCCTGTCTGCAAATGAGCTTGGGGTGACCCCCTAAGCAGCAGTTCAAGAATTAATACATAGAGGCCCCTGCAGGCTCCAGGAATGTTTACAGCAACGCAGGTAAGATAGGTAATCAAGCTAATGAGTGGGGATTAGTATTTGTGTAATGGATAGTTACTCCCTCTGGTATTAGAAGAACTCAGACCATTCAAATAAGACAGTCTAATGGCATGTTTACCATGCTGGGGGAGAACGGCTGTCTCTGCTCCGCATGTGCAATGAGCCACGCAGGCTCTGGCTCTCTCTAGACTAGCTGGCAATGTGGTGAGCTGTGTCTGTGCTCGTAAGTCTGTGTCAGCACCACACTGACGTGTCTCCCTGGCTTTCAGTTCAGAGACAGGTTTGGAGTGAGCTTGGGTGTATCTGCACCCTTTTGTGGAAACAAGCATGAGGTGTCCTGCATCCAAATCTGGGAGGATTGGAGGCATCCAAATGCCTCTGCAAGGCAAGATGGTTGGAGAGTTAAGGAGTGTGTGATGAGGGTCACCTGAACTCCTGGTAAAGATTTGCCATTGTCTGTCAGTCTCTTCATCTCATGTCTCTCCCAACCTAGCCTGGAGCTTTTTCTCTCCCTGTTTGATTTTTTCCTCTTATTTTTAAGTCAATAGTCTGTCCTCTGCAAACCTCAAGGCCAATACAGATATGATCATGATGGAAAATTTCCACCACATTCACTGCTTCCTGTGCCAAAAGAAGATAGGCTGCTTGGAGGGCAAAAAAAAAGAAGCCAAACAAAGATATAGTCAGCACCTGGAGAAATATGTCATCAAATACCTGGGCCAGCCTCTGGAGAAACTCAATGTGAGTATGGTTTAAACTGACCTTGTCCAGCACCTTTCCTTGGGTCTCAGAGGCACCCACTTCAAGGAATTATGAACTCACTGAACAAAGTTCTTGTCAGAGAAACTATAATCTAAAAGTTCTGTAGAAAAATATTAGACTATGTGACCTAAGGAGAGAGAAAAAGCTAAGATTGAATGAAAGTCTTTTCCTGTGCAGAATCATTGTACTTCAGTCTGAGAACAAGAGAGCTCTTGGCTTTTAGCAATGAAAGCAACACACCAGGATGAAGATGGGAGAAACTGCAAATGACCCCACTGTACTAGATGCAGACTAGATGCATGGAAGAGAAGTGTAGGCAGTGATGCTAGACAAGTTTTAGCTGGTTTCCTTTCCGTTCCTGAAGGCTGAATGCTCTCATGGAGCAAACCCCCTGCCTGGCTCTCATCTTGCTACTCTCACAGGGATACTTTCTCCAGTTGCCAAAGCAAATGTATGTGGAATGATTTCTGGTTCCATTCTGAT